GTGAAAAATATGCCATCAGGGATGTTATAGCTGATAATTCGATATTTCAGTTGTGAATTTGTCTGGAATAGAGTTTTCATTCGCAAACTGAACAAAAATGTATTATCAAATATAAAAAAATGGAACATGGAGAGTATTTCACTCGTGAAGTATCATTTTTATCACACTTCTATGAAATCAACTTGTTTTCATATACAAGGTGTTTTTGAAATAAGTGCGCATATTCAGCACATTAATATGGATACAGTCTAAGGAATATTCCCATGGTATCAGATTTTTTCTAATTCTTCTAATTAACGAGAAATTTTATCCCAAAAATTGAACAAAATACGAGAAAAAAATCAAGTACCTACACCACCAAACAATTTAAATGATTGAACTTCGCGTGATTGAGCCTAGCCATGGAAATTTGAACAGAGGTGATGTCAGATTATGCTACAGTGTAGAGCTTTGATTGGGAAAAGGGCTAATCTCAAATTTCATTTCGATCCCTATTTCTTTTTTATTAGTGCCATTCGATAGTACACGTCGAGTTTTCTCAGTGTTTGAAATATTTGCAGTTATTTCAATGCCACCATGGGCGCCGCTAGTAAAAATTCCAGGGGGGGGCGGTTTTTTCAAATTTAAAGAATTAATTGTACTATACTAGATATAAGTAATAGGTAAAATCGAAACCCTTTTGACTCATTTTCACTACCAGTGTGGTTTGAAGAAATTGTGAAGAGGATATAGGTAAAGTAGGTTGGGTAGGTCAGTTGATAAGTAAAACAAGGAATTAAAAAAAATCTATTTTTTCGAAACAAAACACCTACATTAAAACAAAAATATCACAAAAATAAAAGCTGAAAGACCCAAATTCCAAATCGATGGCCTTTTGGAATACATGTCCCATCAAAATATAATAATAGCAAATCTAAATCAAAACTCTTTGGTAAATACCTATATAAAATAAAATACAAATAAACTCCATAAAATGCACTTGTAAATACTGATATGGCAATATGCATGTAGGCAACAAGAATATAAATAAAACAATGTTTCTTTCGACCAAAATGAAAGCAAAAAAAAAATGAAATTGAAAAATAAAGATACTGCACTGAGGGCAATCCTAGTCTACTCGTCAAAAAGGAATTTTAAATTTCTTTTTTCCATGCCAAACAAATCAATGACCTTATTAATTATTTCAAGCTTATTGTTATCAACGTATATTCTGTGTATACTTATGAGAGCCAGTCCAGAAAGACGGTTTTCGCTCATAGTTGATCTGAGCCAACTTTTCACTCTCTTGAGAGTACTAAACGATCGTTCAATCGAGCATGTTGTAGGAGGCATAATAACAAAAAATTTCAAACAAGTTTTAATGTTAGGAAAAAAATTACATTCATTATTTATTAGTTCAGTCATATCTCCTGAAAACTCTTTTTCCTTCCACACTTGCTGCCATGTGCAATATTCCGCACTTAAATTATCAACTCCAAATTGGTTTGAAATATCTTCCAACTGATTTTCACAAAGAATAATTCCCTCTCTAATGATAGCAGGATGAAACTGTGATAGAGAGGACGCAGCTGTTTTATCAGAGGAAAACCGAGTTTCCAGAGATCTTTTATGACTGAATCTAAATAAGGAATGAAAATAGAAATCATAAAATCTTTCGCATCCATAGCGCACAACAATCCACCGCACAGGCCACAGACAGATACGAGACTGACCACTAAAAAAATACTGATACTTGATAGGACACTTGTTCGCGTATCGCGTGGTGGGGTAGCTCGAGTCAGTCGAGTCAAGTGCTTGCGTTCCGAGTGTTTGTAACGCCTTAGGAAGTCACATGGTTGCGACGGCCGACGGGCAAATGCGAATTTCACCGAACGACTAATGAACTTACATTTGGGATGATCTCAGCTGATATTTCTGCTATTTAAGTTTATCGCGTCTTGACTGAAAAAGCTAAAATCCAGGGGGGGGCGGCCGCCCCCCCTTGCCCTCAAGTAGCGGCGCCCATGAATGCCACCCTGTATATTAGTAATATTGTAAGAAGGGCTTTTTCGGGCTATCGCATCACGGAAACAGAAGAAAAACTTTAATACTTAACTTAACTTAATACATAACCATGGAAACGAATCATACATGCCTATTCAATACTGACAATACAGTGTCAATCATGTTTTTTCATTCCCACAAATGTGAAAATGAAAATGTTCCAAGTTTATTTTGTGTCTTTTTTATGTAATATTTTATTATTATATTTTCATTCTCATCGACGTGTAATCAAAAATATCGTTCATTAGTCGCCCAGAAAGGATTTTTCCATGCTTCCATGACTTCCCGTGTTCGGCTCCGCCTAAGACCGCACGGAAAAATCCCTATTTCCAGACTCGTAATGAAATATACTATTCTCCTAATCCCAGCGCTCTAAACTAACAGTTCGAGAACTTGAAAAAACTAGTAATGATTTGGTGCTCCTTTTCATTCAAGAAAAGTCGATAGTGTTTGAATCTCGCGTGATGAAAGATCGACAGAGATTGCACTCACGAGTACAGTTAAATCGCACAGTAGCCGTAGGTGGCATTTATCATAAAAAAAATAATAGATTTTGCCGTACAGAGATAATTCATGAAATTACACTATAGGCTAGACGTCCATCCCAGACCGCTTGCTTTTAATTATTATTATTGGACAATTATTGAGCGTGAGAACTGCATTCTTCGCGATGTCTGTGAGCATCTCATCACAGAAATCACATACCCGGTGGCCTATCCTTAAGTCGACCCACCCTGAAAAAATACGAACTCTGGAGAGAACAGTCGAATGGAGAAATGCTTGCATTCTTCTGAACGGAGACAATACCATTGCTTCCTGTTTAGTTGACATAGATAGAACATGGTATTCATTACTAAAATCAGGAAATGGAAACGGTAAATTCAAGAATAACATCCTGTAACTCATTTGTCACTGAGAAGTGTCAAGACGAATACCCGATAAATTTGCGAGACAACTATTATGTTTAAAACGGAAGCAGATTCGTTCCCAAAACGTCCATCAGAGATAAGTGAAACTGAAAATCTGATATTTTTTCTACATACCTATATATCTATTCTCTAAACCTTTTTCAATACAAATTGTCACTGACAGGCGAATGAATTTTTCTTTTAGGCTTTCCGATAGGAACATTTTCAACTTTTTATCCGTTCGCTTCTGATGATAAAACCATGGGCTATTTTATGGACCATGTGACCATATGGTCACATTATATTCAAAAGCGTTCATTCTTAATTCCTCGTAGTTCTTTGATTCACAGGTAACAAACAAGCTTAGGATTAGCAATTTCGCGCCATCCTCGGGTGGCAGTTCAACTTTTTATGATTTATGTTCTTCAATTTTTCAGGTTAAGTTCCTTTCTTTTCATTGAAATTTTGGTATTGGCTCCTTTCATATATCTGTTATATGGTATATTGTATTTCGTCCACCCGTATATTAATTTCAAAAAGACAATTTTTTGACTTTGAATGAGCGTAGACATAGGTATATGGTTACATCGTCCATTATTTCGCATTTTGTTTTAATGGATTGGATGGACCACACAATTCCGATATGATGAGGAAAATACGACTCATATAAATACGAATTATATAAATTGTTTCATTTTGAATCCTTGGTTGTTATATACAGGGTGTTCCATAAGTCATGGGTCAAAAGAAGTAGAGTAGTAGGGGGGGGAGGGGGGTCATTTCAAATCAAACTAACCGTATATGTGGTTATTCAAATGTTAATGGTTCAAAAGTTATTGATGTTTTTTCATTTCTATAAAAAGAATTAATTACAATAAAACTTGCACACATTTGTGATTTTTTCTTTCACAAACTTCATCCACATGCATGGATGCACCTTTCACCAGGAATAATTTTACACACGGTTTAGGTTGAATTTGGAATTAAATTCAAGATCTGAACAGTTTAGATGAATTTCTATCTATATACAGCACGGAGTAGTTATCTCATGATGGGATGGGATATTCCTAATACTTGACATAAACATATTACTGTAGGAAAACTACTCAAGAGATAATATATTTCACGTGTATGTCCTCTGTCCCCTACTCACACAAGTAATTTGCATAATTATGATACACATAAACAGTAAATAATTATTGAGTCCTGATTGTTATTTTCGCCTAATACACTCACACCTTTTTTACCATGTTTTTATTGGATGTTAAATGCTTCACAAACGATTAGAATTTCACGAAATTATTGAAAAAGACATGTTTTGCTGACTCAGTAGCGTATTTAAATACTCGTACAATAAATTAACCTAATATTGATTTGCTTAGCTTAAAATAATGTTCAAAGGCTAGTTAATAAATACAACGGCTCTGAACTGCTATTAAACAACTTTTTTCCCACAAATCTTTGCCTGATTTACAGATGTACTTTCTCTGCCTAGGCAGAAAAAGTACGTTGCTATACAACTTTCCGAGTAATTTGAAATAAATTGGTAATTAAAATTGACAATGACTTTGGGTGAACACAAAATGATGCATTATTTTTACTTTACGTGAAATTTGATAGACCGTTTGGACAAAAAATAATAATATGTTCTACATGGCAGAAAAGCAGAGTTAGTGCCTTGGCTATGAAACGTCAGCCCCGGCATCCAATCTTGTAATTTTCTGCCTAGTAAAATAAATAACAATACCACAATGAAATGTTGCTTTCCAATCTGTGTAAATTTTTTGCCAATTCCTATAGTTTTTCTCCTGTAATTTTTCTCCGCGTTTCTCAGGTCCATCCTCTACGATAAATTGGTGAAATTAATTTATTCATACCACTTTTTCTACATGGCATTACTTTTGCTGATCCAAAACTATCAGTCGCAGAAATACATTTGGGGCAAATTTTAATTTTTTATAGAAAAATCACCATGACGTGTTCAGTAGGTAAGCTTTCCCGATTTCAGTCCTTTGGATTGTTTGCAATGGTGTATTTAGTTTCACTCACCTATAAACGAACGGCCCAATTTCCTGTAATTTTGGTTTTTCTCCTAATGCCAGAAACGTATCCGGATTGGTTACGTTGAATATGTAAACTTTTGTAAGTCTTATCACACCGGGCTTTTGCCAATAGTGGAAACTAAGTGATCCATCCCGCAGCTTTAAATTCTGAAAAACAAACAAAATTTTCCTAAAGTACAATACAATAAATCACTGCCAAAACATTCTTAGAATAACCGAAAAATGTTTGAAGAATTTGATAGGCATGTTGAAGAAGTTTAAAATTCACTTATTTTTAGACGATTATATTTTTTGGTGGGATAAAAACCAGTAGAATTGAAATTTTATTTACAGTAAGATTTGAATGGCCGATAGTCTTTGAATCATGAACACAAATTGATGATTCAATATTGATCAGGAGAAGATCTTACTCACCTTCAAAATAATATAATCTAGCCATGGAATGGACGACAATATTATACCTACAGCTAATGTAAAAATTCCTATTAAGATGACTGCCAGTCGACCTGGAAAAAATATAATTTTATTTAAAAAATCAAATCAAATCAAACCAATGATAATGTAGCTATTTTGCGAGTATCCACCTGAATTCAGACCTAAACATAGACGCAAAACTACCCCAGTCAGTAGTGATGGCAAAATAACTATTTCATTCACATTTCTCCAAAAAGGCAAAAAACAAGGTTAGGTACGTTCCACTTCCAAATAAATTGGATAATGATTTTCGCTTTTATTCTGATATTGTATGTAGTCACTAAATTGGCACTAACCGAAAGATATTTGAATAATAAGATAATATCTATAGTACGCACATCATAAATACGTATACGTATAGGTGTACCTGAGGTACTGAACGTAAACATGCTTCACACTTACTTCAAGCATATTTGTTGTGTTTTTCTCACTACTTACTCTGCAACACCAATCCAGCTACTTTTTTGACCAGTCTTGACCATCAGACGACAAAGACAAAAAGGTATAAGTTTTTTCATTTTTCGCCTCTGTGTTCATATCTATGTATGAGATACAGGGTATTCCAAAATCGCTATAGTACATCATATTTCAGGAAGTGATTCTATTGCGAAGAATAGGAAGAGCTACATTTATTAGTCAGATGGATCCTATAAAAGCTGGAACTTGAAAGGCTTTCACTGATTTTCTTCACGTAACGTGGGCTGTGATTTCTTGATACTATTTGTTCGGTTTGTATATTTTATCGTGTAGGAATGAAACAAAGCGATTTATCAAGATTTTTAAAGAGAAACATCAACGATGATGGTAGGGTGGCTTCCACATCAGTAGTTGGAACTGATGGAAGTGATTTCTTGTTACAGCTGAATGAAAAGTCCGCATCTGTTTCTTCCAATGGAGATTTTAAATCTCTGGAAGAAAATTCCTTCGGAAGCTATTGAAAATTATTTCCACGGTGCAGTATCAGATGGATATATATTAACTGATATTCCTACCCTGATATTTCTAAAACTATTATCAAAGCAGAAATCAGAATGTGTCACGAATATTTGAATGGATGGTTGGAAATTAAAAACAGAGGTCAGGCACTGTCATGTTTGGGGATTCGTAGTCGATAGGCCTGCCCGAATGTGCACAAACTTTTGAAAATTTCTTGTACACCAAAAGTATCATTTGCATCAAAACCTATTCAAAAAATACTACCGCTCAAGTGAGGCTTGACTAGCAATGCTGTGAATTCTGAATTCATAGAGACGTAGTCATATCTATTGAAAAAATAATTGATGAAATTGCTCTCAAGCCAATGAGCTTAGATTTTATTCTGTAATGCTCAACATTATTGTAGTTACTAATAATCCTGAAGAAAAAATGTTTTTTGCAAAAAATATGTATACAGGGTGTCTCGAGAACTGAACACTTGAAGATCGTATGTCCCATCTCAGTAATTATGAAATCACAATGGCTATCACCTGTCAAACGTCCGTCGAATTTCCCTGGATACGCCACTGATTTAGAAGTTTATTTTTTGTCGTGGAATCAATTTCTGATATATTTTCTCTCAATTTTGCAATAACCTATATTCTGTGGATAATATTACATGCCCCGAAAATTATTGGAACTGGTAATCGAAAAGAGCAGATGATAAGTAAATTACCTAAATCGTATATTATAACAGTAATACGAGAGATGATGTACTTATGTGAAGAAGAAAAAACTCATCTCACGAGAACAAAATTGTTGGTTAGAGCTTGCCAACATTGCAATTATGTAGATATACCTTTTTTATTTTTAATACAGTACAGAAACAATCATCTCCAAGTCATAATAATCAGATATCAGTGAGTGAAGTTGTTGTTGTCTATACCGTGGTCTATACAGGGTTAGGTATTATCATGACTCAAGCTCAAGCAAAATGTTACTTTACATTCACTATGAATGAAAGATATCCTCCGTTTATAGTTTTATGGAATATCCATTGAACCATTTATTTACTGATAATTTCATAGATAATAAAAAAAAAACTTTGAATGAAGTTTCATAATAGAAATCATGGAGGATCGAAATCTGGCGATAATTTTTTTTTATGTAGCCCATAAATGATACTGCTATCGAAAATCTGTCTTCTGCAATTGTTACTAACTATTCAGTAATAAAGATTCTGTTTTGGGTGGTTCAAAAAAGGATGATCTGAGAATAGGTAGGAATTCATTTTTTTTATTAACGTTCTAATATCTCGAAAAGCGAGAAGTTTTTACTGGGGTCAAGTTGGGTTCTGATATAGGTTATAAAGTTGTTTATTGCAGTTAATATCAACATAATTTACATAAAATTGCAGTAAGTATACAGGGTGTTTTAAAATTCAGTATCAAGATTTCAGAGACTTATTTCTCAGATCAAAATAAGATTTTTTCCCCTATAAGTATGTGTTCGCAAACGCTTCGTAACCGACCTACAAAGCGTACTCAACATTAAATTGAAATCATATATTCTCCTGTCCCAGAAAAAAAGTGTATTATACACGGAAAAAATATTAGATTTTAGCTCACGGTTTTTTGTCACACACAACCTGAAGCAAAAATCTACTTCCGTGTATAATAAGTAACTATTATTCTCGATAGCGGTCGCAGATGGGTAAAAATTACAAAATACAAAAAACTTCAAAAACAAATCACTTATTTCGTATCACAAAATCTACCAGTGGCGCACTACAAAAAAGTTTATGAAGCGAAAAAGCCAGATCACTGAAAAAATATCTCGCTATAGGCTTATTTTGATCTGGAAATATGCCCCTGAAATCTTGATACTGAATCTTTGAGCACAGCATTCTCACATAGGAGGATTTCAATAAAGAACTAAATTTTTCTGTGATTTTTCAAACTCGAAAGCGAATTCTAATAGTAATCCGATATCACAGAGTAATAATGAAGGATGGCCCTGAGGGAATTTGATGACGGATTAAGGAAATTCACAGCTCTTTAAAGAAAAAAGGTGCTCTTGTTCCGTATCGATCAGATGTACCATTTTCGAATGAATTCGTTGTTACATATCACATATTATGATAATGTTGCAAATCAACAATTTTGTTTTCACCACACAATTTCATAGAGGCGCGTAGAATAGGGAAATGATGATAGAGAGCTGCTTCAATTTTTGTGCATTTTTTTTCATTGCCACTACGATTTATTGCAATATTTTCAAATCGATTTTACTCGAAAACGATACATCTGATTCATAGGAAACAAGAGCACCTTTTTTTTTGTAAAGAGATGTGGATTTTCATAACCCGATATTTAATTTTGGGAAAATATGCATGCAAAAAAGTTTGAGCAATATCCAATGTAGCCTTACTCCTGAATGAAATTTTGGAATGGCTCTATTTTCACTCTCTTTGGCATGGAATGTTTATTTATTGTACTGAATTGCATCTTTTTATCACATGGCGTTTCGGAAATATTCAAGAAATATCCCCCCTTTCCGGAGGCCGGAAGCGAATTTTGGCAGGCTTATTTTGGGACACCCTGTATATTGCCAAATAAACGAGTTTTCATAGAAAATGGACTAGTGGTGTTACATCTGATGATGAATTTGTGGTTTATCTACTCTGTTCAATTGACAATTTCTCAATCCACACGTAAAATTGGAAAGTCCCCAGTTTCCATGCTGTTGCGATATAATATGTATTCGACTCTTTAAAAGTATGCTAAATTCCGAACCTCATTTTTTGTCGGAATGCTCTCCAATCCACTTTAATCATTACGTCCAAGTTATGTAATTTCTTGAGTGCTAGTACTCGCTACCGAAGCAAAGTCACTTGGTCACTAGTTGTCCTGAGAGGTGAAGGTGATGGAAGGTGCTATACAGGGTGGGCAAATGTTGAGCACCAAGAAGATCGGAAAAACTTATTTCTTCGAAAATTCATATCTTCTTAGAGTCGCGAACATATAACCATCAAGAATGTGGTTATTCAATCACTAAACTAATTACTTCAACTCGATTATAATAACGATTATCTGATTTTGTTGCTTGATTATCTGAAGATGAGGATTTTGGAATAAGGAAAATGAAAATTTCCTTCTGAGTTTTTTAAATCTATGTACCCAATATTTTCCAGGAAGGATGCTATTACATCACAGGTGTGGAGTCGTAAATAATTATAATACTTCTGTTATTGTTTGTGATGACTGTTATGGACAATTTTCAACAAAACTCCATTCAGTAAGAATCAAATATTATTTTTCACGAACACTCTGGGTCTCAATCGTTTCTTTATGAATCATTCATAGACTTAAAATCAACAGTATTTTTGTATTTTGGAATAACTATCAATATTCAGACAGAAACATATCATGTTTGAGAGAATGAACTGAAAATTCTTAATGAATAACTCATAGATTCAGATCAAGAATAATAATTCATCTATAATTAAATTAAGGCGGAATTTTGACTAATAAAATTGTTCATTTTGGAATGAGAGAGAACATATATATTTTTTCTACTAACGCAGCTTTTGGAAATAACTACCCTGAAAGTATGAGCGATTGAAATAGTTGAAAAAGTTCTTATCCATATTATCCCATATGTCCAAAGGGAACAAAAAAAGAAAAATTTAAATAACTGACAAGGCAGAAAAAAAATGTCGGGCCTACCGAGAATTGAAACTGGACTACCAGCGTGGCAACCTGAGCTTCAGACCTCTGAGCCATATAGTACGATAAACTCAATGCAATCAAATTGAACATTACTCATTGATGCAATAAAATAAAGATGCACTGTCTTTCTGATGACCACAAAGAGTTTAAATATTAAGTATAATTCATCGTTTTCAACACATATGCTTCATCGGGAGCTTCTTGTAGAAATTTTTTGGTATATTCAGCGGTGAATGTTTTGGTTTTTTCTCGCTTTATATCCAATAGATTGTTTCTTGAGAAATGCGATAAGTTTCAGATACTTATTGATTCCGATATTATCTTCAACATTCAAGCATGTATACGTACCTTCGAATATATAGACCAATGAGTTAATGACTCCAAAGTTTTTGATTTTTTACCAAAATAAGCCAGTAAAACGTTTTCTGAATACATATTCACCATCTCAGAGTGGCACCAATTTATGAATGTATCATATTGTAATTCATATTTCTTCCTTGATCCGGTATAAGAGATTCAAATATCATCAGGAGGTGTGTTTGATGATTCACTGTCAATATATTCCATCTTGAAAGATTTGGGGGATTTCAAGAAAAGATAAGTATAGGTTACAGAGATGTGCGAGCGTTTTTCCAATATTTCCGCTCACGAGCGCAAATGCTGTCAAAGAATGACATTTCTGGGAAAACGTCAACTTTGTGCTGGAATTTGAAAGCGTCAAAGGCTACTTTGTTAAGCGTTTGTAGAAAAACAAACAAACAAACAAACAAACAATCAAATCATTCCTTATTATAATATTAGTATAGATTTCAATTTCATTCTTAAGTCCAAATAAAAAACGTTTCCTACCAATCATTTCTCCAATTAATCATTGTTTTCAATTAAGAATATCATCTCTTTCACTCTTTCGCTATTAACAAATAAATCTTATTGCGCCAATGATGCAGTAATGTTTGATATGAGCAATTATTCTTTTATGTGATTATTAGGCATTGTAAAAACGAGTGTCAATAATATTCAAAATAAATTATTGAAAATCAACTCACAGTGACTGAAATGTTGTGATATGAGCATTTGTATTGGTAAGCCATCTTTGCCGAGCTTCTTTGGATCGATCCCCAGCACTTGATTTTTGGCATATTGGGACAACCTGAAGTACTGCTTGTATAGTCCCATAGTATTGTACCCGGGATGGGTAACCTGAAACAATTGAAAAGAAAAACATATTGAGAAGATATATTTTTCTTTATTTGTGAAGATAAGATAAGATTTCCACCATTTCCTGTGAAAATCTTATCGTTTGTGAAGTTTTTTACATTCAAGAAGATATCAATAGGAAATCTGAAAAAATCTTAGCACTAGATTATGAGTTATATAAAATACAGGGTGTATCTAATTAACAGCGAAATAATTCAAGGGGTGATTTCTCTTGTGATATTTCAGAAAATAAAGTTTATATAAACATGTGTCCTAACTTGCTTTGTTTTCGAGATACAGGGTATTAATATTTCCATGAAGAACTTTTTTCTATTCATTTCTCAATTGTCGTTTATGAAGCTTCTTCTTGTGTATTTAGATTTGAATGTCATTGTACATCACCGGTTTTTCGGAGTTTCATATTTTTATTAGTTTGAACTATTGAAATAACAACTTTTTTATCCCTTTTAAGAATAAGGTTTACAAGTCTAGGCCACGAAATCGGCAAGTTTGTGAGAGAATAAGGCAAGCCTGCCATGAAACATCATGAAATAAGTATTCCAGAACTTAGGAGAGTGGCCAATAATAATAGAAAAAGAAGTGACGTATGGGATGAATGGTCTTCCCTCAGGAACTATCTGGTACCACTCGCGTCACGAGAGACAACTAATCCTTAATTGAACACTTAATGTTCCATTAACGTCTGGAGGACGGATATTTTGTTATTGTTGAGAAAATTTTACTTGGAAAGATCCAAGGCGATCGAATTGAAAATGTCGGATTCGATGTACGAAAAGTTCTGATTCTTTTATCCGCGGTGGCCACTTGGAGGCGCTGCATGTAAAACCTTAAATACCTGATGCGCGAATTCAATTTTGAGATATACAGTGAGCCAAACACGGATAGCAGATAATGCATAGAAATTCATTATTATTTTAAGTTTACATAAAAGGACATAACAAAGGAGATGGACGGAACAAAATGTATCAGAATTGAGAACGGGCAAGTTGAGAGAGACAATATTCAGAACTGACTACCAATATCAGTGTTTATTTCATTTCCTGTTCGAATTCGGTCCAATAAATAGTTTTTCATTAATTGTCATTTAATTTTGACCGATTTTATAGTCTCTGTTGCTTCTTAGTAACAACTAATAAAGAAAATTTCGAATTTTTTCATAATGAATATTAGGTTTTTCATTCTTATTCCTACATTATGACGAATTTATTGTTCTCGTAGCTTCTCATTCAGAATCATTAATTGAAAATCGGACTTAAATATGAAAATTACAAAAAAATTCAAAATTCGAATTTTGCGTTGAAATTCGGTCAATATCGATTTCTAAGCAACTTTTTCGAATAATTTTTTCCGGTATCTCCAACGCGACGCAAATTATCAAGAATTTGCCCTTTTCGCGGGATCGCAGTAGGCTGGGTTTAACGTCCATGCTGTCACTCGTCTCTAGTCTATACCGAAAATCAAATCTCTGCTTTCAAAAATGACTAAAATACAGGGGTGTCTTCATCTTAAGTGTGTCACACTGTATGTATATAGATTATTATTATTATAAACCATTGCACTGTGGGCTTGGACCAAATTTTCTTTGACCTCGTCTATAGTTCATTCTCTTGGGCTCCTAATTTATTAATCATAAACACACTGAAATATGCAAATTGGTCTATCACTATATCTCATCTTAACATACATGGTGTTCACCTTTCTCACGCATTTGAACTTTCGCCAGTCTTTTAGCTTCAATTATTAGACTCGCGTGAAAGTACTTATACATTGGGGCGTAAAAATCGCATAAAAGTAGGTAAGTGCAGAAGTGCATATATACTTACTTCAATCCTCTTATTCATTGAGCCGATAAAAAGTTTGAAGTGTACAGTACACGGTGGCCAACTTCAACGTTTGTTCTGCTCCAATCCATTCGAAAAAGTTTGTCTGTTAGTTGTATTTCTCAGCACCTATTTTGGTACATTTACTAAAATTGCGTTTGTTTCATCAATGCCATTCGGATTTCAGGGGGCTTCTCATTCAAATCTGTACTTTATGAAATTTTGATAAAATGTTTCATTTTCAGATCATTTGAAAAGCACGAAATTACTGAAACAAATGATTTTGTCAAGCAATTCCAATTGTGCATCAGTCATTCCAAAATCTGTTTACTCGAAACCGTGAACTCGCTCAATTCTTCAACTCACCCTGTACTTGTATGTGAGAATTCCTGATTAATAAAGCGCATACATTAAGCATATTTTAATGCAATTCACAGTCGTTTATTAATAGATAATTGATTGGAAATCTGCGAGGGAAATTTCAGAACGCAACGAATAGGTATTGAAAAAAAAAAGAAGAAAATTAACGGATGAGAGCAGGTAAGGCCAATTTTTATTTTCCACGCCAACTTTCTTCACGAGCACTGCCTAATTGCTTATCAATTCATTTTTTGTCATACACAAACAAGCATGATGCATGTATCCGTGATCCGCTTGCTTTCTATTCTAATAAATATGTGCTATTCACTAATGATAGGAAGAAGACACTTTATACTTGCAGGACGAGCTAGCAGTAGGTCAAGCACCCGAGATTATGGCAGTTGAAGCGGCATTTTTTTGCATTATGGAATCCTATATCCTATCCTTGTTTGGAGCGCACGAAAGGAAATCCCTATAATGCATAAAGGGGACACCTATAATCGTCAGAATATAGAATTGAATATGGAAATGATAATCCAACAGAACCTTATTTCATAGCAACAGTGAGCCATCAGAATCGTATTTCGTCGAAACCTTGTATATCGTGTGTCCCAAATTCGATCCTCTCCCATTGGGATCTCGGTAGCTGTGATAGATAGAGTCGGTTGATTTTTTTTTCTGGTTCCCACGAAAATGGATATCCTGTAATGTTCAGAGAACATCGTGAGAACCAAGGGAAATGAAGGTTATATGCCTCAGGGAACACCTCTCTTGGCAATGTGTTCCAGAGCCTCGCTGTTCGTTGGATGAACGAGTCTTTGGAAAGAGATCTTCTGCAGGTCTCCAAAGTGACCACGAAGAGGTGCGAAGCCTCAACTCGACGGAGGAACAATTGTTGATATTTCAGAAGAGCATCGTCCATGAAAATATCTATAAAATATATAGAGCCAGATCGCCAACTTGTCTACGGTGTTCCAGAGAAGTGAGTGATTTTGTGAGCGAGGCATCATCCACGAGACGAATTGCCCATTTTTGGACAGAATCTAACAGTTTCAGGGTATGTTTGGGTGCTGCACTCCAAATGTGGAAACAGTATTCCAGGACAGATCATAAACAGCTGACTGGAAGTAAAATAGCTCCTGGCTTGAAACAGAAAACCAAGTTTTTGGGATGCACTTTTAGCAATTGATCACACGTGATTTTCCCAGGAAAGGTTCTTGCTGATAGTAATACCAAGCATCGAAATGAATGTCTTCAAAGGTATGGTTACTCCTGATGACAAGTAAGTTGGGCACAGTTAGATCGGCTTTTCTATAGAAAGGGCATGCTTGTGTTTTGTTTGCATTGAAATCTACCAAGTTATTGGATCCCCATTCGAGAATTGTTGCCAAGTCCATATTTATGTTGTCAACATTTCTCCCTTGTTTGTTTCTGATTTGCCTGGCTGGTATTGGAGCCTTGGAAGAGAAGTAAATTCAATGGTGATTTAGAATCTGTCGAGAAATCTTGACTATCTTCAGTAATTTCTGAGTTATTCAAGAAAAACTGAATTATTGTATTTTCGTTTTTTCCGAATATATCTATTAATTGTACAAAAAGCAGGGGTCGCAAACTTCTTGAAATTTCAAGATCTTGTCTTGACCTTGTCTTGATCTCAAGACAAGATCAAGACAGGATCATGACAAGAAGTAATTTAAGATTTCAAGACAAGACAGATTTCTTGTCAGAAAACAAGAAATCTTGAAATTTCTTGACTAAGAATGAAAACGCTAAAACGTGCGTTCATCACTCATGATGAAATAATAAGAGATAATATCAAAATAATGTACTTTTCATCACTACTTCACAAACTGGCATCATTGCAAGTGCGCGACGTCGTTTGTTTTTGTCAGAAAACAGAAAAAAGATCGGGGAACCACCAGAAAACCCTTTGGAAGATTATTTGAGAGTACTATTAGAATGTTGAAGTCGAATTATCATACCATCAAAGATTTTCCAGATATTCGAGAAGATCAAAAATACAAAATTTCAGTCTTTCTCGAATTACTAAAAAATGACTGAAGCTAGTCTAGATTTCTCAACGGATTCTAAATCAATATTGAATTTGCTGAAACTTTCGTGATTCAACATATCCTCTATCCCTCATAGTTGCCAAGATCTCAATGGTGAGGATCGAATTTGGGTCACACTGTATATAGGAACATTTTTCATCGAGTCTGTAATCTTTCAGAACCGTAATTCGTCGCTATAGTGAAACATTATCATCATTAGAATGCGATTCTCAAAGGTTGATGTTGCGACGAAATACGATTTTGATTTTTCATTGTCTCGACAGAATACAGTTCTGACAAGATATAATTCCGACAAATTACAGTTCTGATTATTTACCATTATGATGATTTATGGTAAGGATAGATCACCATCATTCTGACAAAATATGATTCTGACAGATTACTGTTGCGACAAAATATGGTTTTGATAAATTGTCTTTTCTATTCAATACGTTAATACCATTTTTATGGAGTACGATCTTTTATGTTCCTATGAAATACATTCCTTCACATTTTACTAAATGATGAATTACTGCTCCGTTGAATTACGGTTCAGTTGAAATACCATTTTGATCGAATATATTCTGATACGAAAAGGATTTTGATGGAATACGTTCTGAGGAATTATACATGCAGCCTGCCTAAAGGGTGAATATACTACGACATATTGTACCCGACTAGGTTGTTCTCCATAGCTATAGTAATTTTTTTCGTCCTTTGTCCCTCAGAAATGTCAGAATATGAGGTGAAT